TTTAAATTCGAAGATTTCTGTGCTGGTAATTCGTATGTGTATATATATGTTTATGCAGAAGATGCAACTCTGGCAGTTAGATACCGTCTTCCTCAGCAAGAAATTAAAGATATTGTGGATGCTCCGCCACTTCCCGCCTTGTCATTCTCGCCGCATAGGGATAAGATACTGTTTCTCAAGCGGAGAGCTTTGCCGCCATTGACAGAACTTGCAAGACCTGAGGAAAAGCTTGCCGGTGTTCGTATTGATGGAAAATGCAATACAAGGACCAGGATGTCGTTTTACTCGGGTGTTGGGATCCATCAATTATTGCCCGATGGCACCCTTGGTCCCGAAATAGAGGTGCGTGGATTCCCTGATGGTGCCAAGATCAATTTTGTTACTTGGTCCCCGGATGGCCGCCATTTAGCCTTCACCATCCGGTTTGATGAGGGGGAAAGTAGTACTAGTAAGCTCAGAGTATGGGTGGCCCAAGTTGAAACAGGGATTGCTAGACCTTTGTTTAAGTCTGAAGAAATATTTTTGAATGCTATTTTTGACAATTTTGTTTGGGTGAATGACTCCTCCTTGTTAGTTTGCACCATTCCCCAGTCTCGTGGAGACCCGCCAAAGAAACCTTTGGTTCCTTTTGGGCCTAAAATTCAATCTAACGAGCAGAAAAACACTATCCAAGTGAGGACCTTTCAGGATTTGCTGAAGGATGAGTATGATGAAGATTTGTTTGACTACTACACCACGTCACAACTTGTTTTGGCCTCCTTGGATGGGGCGGTGAAGGAAATTGGTCCTCCAGCTGTATATACATCAATGAACCCCTCTCCCGATCAGAAATACCTTTTAATTAGTTCAATTCACAGACCATACTCTTTCATTGTACCATGCGGAAGATTTCCCAAGAAGGTGGATGTGTGGACAGCTGATGGGAAGTTTGTTAGAGAACTTTGTGATCTGCCGCTTGCTGAGGACATCCCCATTGCATTCAGTAGTGTGCGAAAAGGGAAGCGTTCTCTCAACTGGAGAGCGGATAAACCATCAACACTCTACTGGCATGCATTTTTGGCTCTGTTTTCTAATTGTTTGAATAACTTAAAAGACATCTCTTTGAATTCTTATCTCTTTCACTCTCTCATGATATCATAACAAGTACTCGATAAGGATTTTTATTTCATAATTTTAATTTTGTCCCCACAGTCATTCATATCATCCTAAATGCATTTGTGACATGAAACAAGTTACAAAAGCAACTTCTAGTCACCATTTATGGGACCTGGGCTCAGGCCAGTTCATTTTTTGTCGTGTTTCGGGCCAGGTTCTTTAAGATTTTGACATCCCCATGCCCAAGCCTAACCCATGGTCTACATATGACTTGTACATAGTTGTTTGTGTATATGCTTTCAGTTACCTGATTGACTCTGTGACTCTTCTAGGGTTGAGACCCAAGATGAAGGAGATGCAAAAGTGGAAGTTTCTCCACGTGATATAATTTATACACAGCCCGCTGATCCACTAGAAGGTGAAGGGCCAACTGTCTTGCACAAACTTGATCTTCGCTTTGGGTATGAAGTTTAACTGTTATTGTATTGTTTATCTTCTATTGGCATAAATGGTAAATGTGTGCTGGGGAATTAATTAAACTTTTTCCTATGTTTTATTGGGGTTTTTGGAACAATGATTTTTCCAAGGGAGCTTTTTCTCCTTTCTCCAAAAGACTGCTAAGCTTAACAAGTTTCATGGTGGTCCCAACTTGCTTTTATGCATTTGAACATTTCAATTTCGCAGAGGAATTTCTTGGTCTGATGATTCACTAGCTCTGGTTTACGAGTCTTGGTACAAAACACGGAGAACAAGAACCTGGGTGATTTCTCCTGGATCAAATGATGTCAGTCCGCGCATCCTGTTTGATAGATCGTCAGAAGATGTATATTCCGATCCTGGCTCTCCTATGCTGCGGAGAACTCCTGCTGGGACATATGTGTTAGCAAAAGTAAAGAAGGAAAACGAGGAAGGCACTTATTTACTGCTGAATGGAAATGGTGCCACACCAGAGGGAAATATCCCATTCCTCGACTTGTTTGACACGTAGGTTTTTTATAATTTATTGTTTCTATTACGTTCTCAAGTGCTCATTTGTGTTGTGGTGGCTAAACCAAATTCTTTCAGAAATACAGGAAACAAAGAAAGAATATGGAAGAGTGACAAAGAAAAGTATTACGAGACTGTTGTTGCTTTAATGTCTGATGAAAAAGAAGGGGATCTGCCCATTGATCACTTGAAAATATTGACTTCTAAAGAGTCAAAAACTGAAAACACTCAGTATTCTATCATAAGCTGGCCAGAAAAGAAAGCAGTCCAAATTACAGATTTTCCTCATCCATATCCACAGCTGGCATCATTGCAGAAAGAGCTGGTCAAGTACCAGAGGAAGGATGGGGTTCAACTAACTGCAACGCTATACCTTCCACCAGGATATGATCCATCCAGAGATGGCCCTCTTCCGTGTCTGTTCTGGTCTTATCCTGGAGAGTTCAAAAGCAAAGATGCTGCTGGACAAGTTCGTGGTTCTCCTAATGAATTTGCTGGCATAGGTCCAACTTCGGCCCTCCTCTGGCTGGCTCGAAGGCATGCATTACCTCTTTCATTTGTTTTCCTACTATGTTTTGGTGTTTTTTATTGCTTCTGTAATTCTTCTTTGTTTAGAACCTTTTTGGTGTTTGGATTGTTTTAAACATGCTGACCATTTTTTGTTTGCTCGAAATCGTGCAGGTTTGCTATTCTGTCTGGACCAACAATTCCTATTATTGGTGAGGGTGATGTAGAAGCAAATGATAGGTAACTTGTTTGCCGCATATGTACTCACATGGGTTTCTGCTTCCTGCCAAATTTAATTCTAATTTTCTGTATGAACTCATTGGCATTTCTCATAACATAAATCCATCGAATGGTTAACTGGGTGAAAAATGGACTAGATACCCACAACACGCTACTAATGCTTTAAAGTTTTTCAATGAATTATAATGTATATATTGACCAGCTATGTGGAGCAATTGGTTGCAAGCGCAGAGGCTGCTGTGGAGGAAGTTGTTCGACGAGGAGTAAGCTTCTCCATTTTTGTAGTTTGAATCTTTTGAGCATGTTCCTGACTTTATAATCTTGACCTGAACCTCTTATGGTGCTACCCTAATTAAGGTGGCTCATCCAGACAAAATTGCTGTTGGGGGACATTCATATGGGGCATTCATGACTGCAAACCTCTTGGCACATGCTCCCCATCTTTTCTCTTGTGGAATTGCACGTTCTGGTGCTTACAATAGAACACTTACTCCTTTTGGTTTTCAGGTAGCTTACGAGAAGTTGATTTGAATATATACACATGTATATCCACGTGTTGATATTTTCTCTTTCCATGCCATCCGACCTAGGTAAATTATTTACCTTTTGTTTTAATGGCCTGACTCTTTAGTTTATCGGTGCAGAATGAGGATAGAACTCTTTGGGAGGCTACTAGTACTTATGTAGAGATGAGTCCTTTCATGTCCGCTAATAAAATTAAGAAGCCAATCTTGCTCATCCATGGAGAAGAAGACAGCAATTCTGGAACTTTAACCATGCAGGTAAAGAGGTCTTTCACCCTTTTAACGTTTAGTAGCATGATGAGTTTCTTCTTGATTGTGATCTGTCAGCCTGTGATTTAATTTTTGTTTGTGTTATGCAGTCGGATCGTTTCTTTAATGCTCTGAAAGGTCATGGCGCTCTGTCCCGCCTTGTGATTCTTCCATTTGAGAGTCATGGCTATGCTGCAAGAGAGAGCATCATGCACGTGCTATGGGAAAGTGATAGATGGCTTCAGAAATATTGCGTGTCAGACACTTCCAATGTAAATGCTGATTCTGATGCAAGTGAAAAAGAGAACTTAGGCACAGGTTCTACAGCTTCTGAAAGCAAACCAGTTGCTGCTAGTGGAGGCGGTGGCCCAGAGGCGTCAAATTCTTAGCATGAAGGATTTGACTCATTGCCAATGTCATTGTTATGGTAATTTCTTTACATTTACAGAAAAGAGGACATAACCAAGTTAATTCTGAAAATAAAAAAAGAACGATAGTACTTGAATTCTTTCAATCTCTGTTTACGATAGATGTTCCCACCCCTCCCCCAACCCTCACAAAGCGGAGCCTTGTTGGCTCGAGGTCTCCCTTTCAATATTTCTTGGTAACAGCAGTAATTGGGACAATAAATATTGATGAACAATAGGTCATCTATTTGTTACCATAAATTCCTTTCCTCAAATCTTGGGTTTATTTTCTTACGCATTTGTATCGAATGATATAATCCTGCAGAATAAATTGCTGATCGTGGCTTCTGAGGACTAGTTCGCACATCAATGCGGTGGACAAAATTGATGCCACAACAGCGCGTAGATGATTGCCCCCTGTCAAAGTGCAATGGCAGCCATGCTTCCTCGTCGAAGTGCAATTCGCATCTGTAAGAGTAGTGATGTATCATTTGTATTTGTATCCCAAACTTCTTTCGCTCCAAAATCCTTCCAGTTTGATAGATGTTGAGCAGCCATGGGAGAAAACTTGTACAATGTTGCGTAGCTTCCATTTGTTACTTGTGATGTTATAAAGCTCTCGAATAAAAAACAGCGCGTTTTACGGACAATCCAATTGCAATATTGTAGTTCGGTTATCCGATAAAATACAGGCATCTATCTCATTTTTTGACTTATAATTTGTCCATCCCAAAATGAAATGTACTCCGATCAACAACGGAAATGCTTATGAGAATCATACCATCCTCACGCTCGACTTAAGGGAGTTTTAACGAAACATTTCTGGTACTGTTCACTTTTAACGAAAATAACACTTTTACTTTAAAAAGTCACTTCTGGTATTATTTACTTACAACACTTTTTTTGTCCTTTTGATTAAAACTCAAACTTTTCAAGCCTTTTTTATTAATTTTCCCAGCACAAAACGGAGGTAAAGAAAACAAGAAAAACAACCGTATAACATGTCATCTTGAGCAACCATCAAAATGCAATACCAAGGAAGCAAATATCAATAACATAGTTCGACTGTGGAGTAGTAAACTCGATTATTTCAAGACCCAAACTAAGCTCATCTCAAGTTCAAGGGCCATACGGAAAGAGGAGAATGAATAACAGGGGTGTCGAATGCGTCCATACTATCATGATCGGAACTGCGAATATCTATTCTTCAGCAACAACACTGATCTCACCCTTCTCGAGCAAGTCATAGAATGCCCTCACTTTCCTCTGCTCATTCCAGTGATGCATTTTCCAAAGACTTCCACAAGCCAAAGCAAGCACTGATCCGTACAATATCTCCTTGACAACGCTTGGGCCTTTCAATGTGGCATGAGCAATCTTGTGACCAGCCATTTCACTTGATCTGCAATTACGAAAGTGTCATATTCTAATTTCCTGTCAATTCAATCCAAAAAGGCAAAGCATTTTATGCTTTAACATTATTTTGACTAATCTCAAAAACCGGAACTATGACTAGACATCAATCTGTTACCAAAACACATTAAGTATTGAAGTTTGCCTTGGTGCATATATTAGGCAACAATCAGTTACACATTTCATACAGATATGATTCTGCACCATCTCAGGTTAGTCGTACAATACAATGAAGTGAGGATTATATCTCTCTAACATAACCGACTCACTCACTGATCAATGATCAGATGGTTTAATCCTTGCGACACACGTCATCATCTTCAAATGACATTGACCATCGTAAACATATAGACTAATCCTGTGACACTTGGGATCACCTTAACTCCACATACTCTTAACAGACTGAACCCAAAAACAGGAGGGTCTTGGATTTTGGTCTCTATATACTCTAACAGATTGAATCCAAAAACAGGAGGGTCTTGGATTTTGGTCTCTATATACTCTAACAGATTGAATCCAAAAACAGGAGGCCTTGGATTTTAGGGACTCTACACACTCTAACAGATTAACCCGAAAACGGGAGGCCTTGGATTTAGGTACTCTACATACTCTAGACTAACCCGAAAACAGGAGGCTCTGGATTTAGGTGAAGTTATAAACAGGCTGTCCACAAAGTAGAATGTATCAAAGAACATATATAAAAGCATGCTAAAATATTGCTCCTTGTAAGAATACCACAATCAGACCAATACCTATTAGACTTCGGCACCTAACTTTATGCCCGAAAATCGAACTTTTCGATAGGATGCCTAGAAATTTAAAACCCACCGAAAACTTTCAGGATAAAAATGAAAATACTTGTGTTCTCATGAAGAAATCGTTTCGTATAACGGAATCTAAAGTTGCCTGTAAAATCCATGAAATTTTCAGGAGTGTTTTATGCTTTCTGGGTTCAATCAGAGATTGATTTTCTCCAATCCCTTCATCCCAAGAGCCGATTTTTCCATTATTTATCACATATTTACAGAACAATTAAACAACTAACTGAAAAGAAAGAAAAAAAACATGAAAATACCGATCGAAACTTAAATAGCTGGATTCAAATAGTTGCATAGAATAAGAAATAATTTCCATAAACCTCCACAAATACAAAAACAAAAACTACAAAACGAATGAATGAGAGAAGTGAATCGATTGTTAGGGTTTTTACCTGAGAACGAAGAGGCTGCAACGAGATGGAAAAAATGAGAGAGAGAGATTGCGAATCCGAAATTGGGGCTTCGTGGAAAGGTCAATCCTTTTCAACTGATTGGCGTCCTGTGAGCCTCCCCTTCCCTGCAGGAGAAAATGTAGCCTCTTTCGAGATCGTGGGCTTCTTGTCCCTTGTGGCCTTATGTTGGAATTAGCGGGAGCGGGTGATCGTTTTATTGGGCTTCAATTTTGGCCCTTTAAAATTTTTGCAGCGTTTCTTGTTGGATTTACCTTTTTATCCCTGGTTTTAGCTTCTGTTTTTTTTTTTTTTTTTTTTTTGTCATTAGTTAAATTTGGGGATGGGGGGAATCGAACTTGGATGAGGTGGGAGTTTTCTTAGCTCTAGTGCCACTGCAACTAGGCCCCCATCATCTTTTTTAACAAAGTTTTAGCTAAATATTAAAAATGAGCATTAACCATCGAGGTGTAACTTTTTACGACGATGTCGATTTTTTATTGTTAATGACCAATTTGTTTGATGATTATACTGTAACGTGATCTGTTTTGTTTTTAGCATGGGTTGCTCTTTTTCCTTTTTCGAGATTTTTCCCATGTGATTTACCCAGGACAAAGTTTTGTTAGGCCACGTTCTTCTCCATGCTCTTTGTATTATTTCCTTTGGTCTGTTAGAATGAAATCCTTTATTACCTTAAAAACAAAGAAGTATCAGTATCTAACGTTTAGTCTCAATATTAATTTTTGTTTTATGGTCAATTATTTTCGATTAAAGTGAATCTAGGTAATTCTATTCATAGTGTTCGTATGCGATTATTATTCAATAATAGGTAGTATTTTTTTTTAAACAATTGATATTATCTACACTAAAACCTACTTCAATGGAATGTATCTAGATTTAAAAAATATGGGAGAAGTAAACTACAAAGATTCGTTGAAGCTTGAAATTGTTCAACCATTTTTTATACATCTTGCCACATTCTTGCATCCTTTGATTGATATTGATTAATGTTTATTGTAAAAGCATGATCGCAGTTTATAGATGCGATTCACATCGCATCCCGTTCTCCCTTTTTTTGTATTGATGTAGGTGGCGAGAAATCATTCGCAGAGGATGTTGCAGTTGATGCCGAAGGTAATGCATATGTGACAGATTGCACAGCCAGTAAAATCTGGAAGGTTGGAGCAGACGGGAAGCTTCTATCAACAATTAGAAGCCCTCTCTTCAGAGCAAAGGAGTGGTACAAGAACTAGGTTGGCCTGAACGGAATTGTTTACCACCCAGATTGCTACTTGATAGTTATTCACACTTTCAGTGGCAAATTGTTGAAGATTGATCTAGCAAAGGGAGAGGAAGTGAAGCTCATTGAGGTAGCTGGAGGACCACTAACATTTGGAGATGGTCGACAGTGTTGAATTAGTGGCCAAGTGACTTTCGGCTAATAAAATAAATAAAAAGGTAAGACAATGATGATGCTTGCTTGGGATTCTTTTCTTTGGTATTTTTTTGGTTTCCCATTTGAATGCTACGTCTCGGCTTTGAGGTTTGATTAAAAGGCAAAGTAGGGAGCATGATACATCATGATTGTGTTTGTGGAAAAATGGAAGGTTGATTCCTTTTTTTCTTTTGCCATTTATTTGCCAAGAGCCAAGTGAGAGAGCTGAGAGGTGTGCAACAGAAAAACAGAGAAGAAAAATAGAAGTGCAGTAGCCCCATCTCGGCTTTGAGGTTTGATTAAAAGGCAAAGTAGGGAGCATGATACATCATGATTGTGTTTGTGGAAAAAGGGAAGGTTGATTCCTTTTTTTCTTTTGCCATTTATTTGCCAAGAGCCAAGTGAGAGAGCTGAGATGTGTGCAACAGAAAAACAGAGAAGAAAAATAGAAGTGCAGTAGCCCCATCTGGAAGAGAAGAAGGAGGTGCTCTTCTCTTTGGTTAGTAATTATCGTAATTGTTGTTGTAATAGTTTTGAGTTTTATATAGAGAATAAATTAATCAATATATTTCTTTTTCTATTTGTTTCTTTGGTGTGTGAGAGTTATTGGTTGTATTGGGGTTTTGGGTTGTGAGCTTGTCAACACTTTGTAAACTCTCATTTGGTTGATAGTGGATTATTGGGTGAGCTTCTACTGCTCTGAGGACGTACTCCAGTTACACTGACTATTAAGGAACCTCGTTAAGATCTTGGTGTCTTTAATATTTTGTTCTTGTATTCTATTTGATATATTTCTTGTGGGTTAACTTGAGTTGGTTCCAACGGGTTTGGTGTTATCCTAGCACAACAATTGGTATCAGAGCACTGGGTGCTCTTGGGTACTGTCTAATTGCCAAAGATGTCAGATGGGCAAGATGAGAATCCTTTTGGAAGCAGCTCTGGGTTTGCAAGAATTACAGTGCAAAATGCAAAGTTCAAAGTGGAAAAGTTTGATGGCACAAACAACTTCAGGATGTGGCAATGTGAGGTCAAAGATGTCTTGGCTCAACAAGATCTACTTGCCGCTTTGGGAGAGAAGCCGGAAGCTATGTCGAAGCCGGAATGGGAGAAATTAAATTTGTGGGCTTGCTCTTCAATTCGGTTGTGCCTTGCAAAAACTCAGAAATATTTTGTGATGAGGGAGACATTAGCAAGTGTGTTGTGGCAAAAATTGGAAGACAAGTATATAACGAAGAGTGCAGAGAACCGGCTACACTTGAAGAAAAAGCTTTACTGCTTCCAATACAAAGAAGGTACAAAAATGATTAGACATCTTGATACTTTTAATAAGTTGATTGCCGACTTGTTAAATTTAGATGAGGATATTAAGGATGAAGATAAGGCCTTAATATTGTTGAATTCCTTGCCGGACTCTTATGAGCATTTTGTTACCATTATTATATATGGTAAAGAAACTATGAAATTTGAAGATGTGTCAAATGCCTTGATGAATTATGAAATAAGGCATAGAGATAAAAATCATGATAGTACCTCTGAAGCTTTATTTGTTAGAGGTAGATTATCGGAGAGGAGATCCTCTTCTAGTAGAAAAAAATCACACTCTCGACCTAGAGAAAACTCTAAAGGTAGAAAAACCTTGGAAATTGATGAATGTGCCTTTTGTCATAATAAGGGTCATTGGAAGAAAGATTGTTCTAGGTTGAAGACCAAGGAAAAGAGAGTTTTGTAGCATTTGGCTCAACATGAGTTGTTCTCTTAATAGTGTTTGGGAGTAATTTTTGTGTTGATTGTATTGGTTGGCTTATCATGGCATTTTCGGTACTTGGCCAAGGTGGAGATTGTTGAATTAGTGTCCAAGTGGCCAACTTTCAGCTAATAAAATAAACAAAAAGGGAAGACAATGATGATTTTTGCTTGGGATTCTTTTCTTTGGCCTTTCTTTGGTTTCTCATTTGAATGCTACGTGAGTGGCTTTGGGGTTTGATTAAAAGGCAAAGTAGGGAGCATGATACATCATGATTGTGTTCGTGGAAAAAGGGAAGGTTGATTCCTTTTTTTTCTTTTGCCATTTATTTGCCAAGAGCCGAGTGAGAGATCCGAGAGGTGTGCACCAGAAAAACAAAGAAAAAAAGTAGAAGTGCTGAAGAGAAGAAAAATGTGCTTTCTCTTGAAGAGAAGAAAATTGTGTTTTCTCTTTGGTTAGTAATCATCCATCAAGGTAGTTGTTGTTGTAATAGCTTTGAGCTTTATATAGAGAATAAATTAATCATTATATTTCTTTTTCTATTTGTTTCTTTGGTGTGTGTGAGCTATTGGTTGTATTGGGATTTTGAGTTGTGAGCTTGTCAACACTTTGTAAACTCCCATTTGGTTGATAGTGGATTATTGGGTGAGCTCCTACTGCTCTGCGAACGTACTCCAGTTACACTAACTGTTGAGGAACCTCGTTAAAATTTTGGTGTCTTTGATATTTTGTTCTTGCATTCCATTTGATATATTCTTGTGGGTTAGCTTGAGTTGGTTCCAATAGGTTTGGTGCTATCCTAGCACAACAGAGCACTCCTATCTCCCACTAAGCTTGTAGTTGCCGGCAGCCCTTCTGGTAGATTAGTGGAGAGCTCTGACGGGTGGGAGACAGCTTCGGTTGTGGCAAAATTCTCAGGCACAAAGCATCGGTTGGCCACAGCAGCAACCATGAAGACGCATGAAAGTTGGACTCATCGCAGCTCCACAACCGCCATCGTATTCATATGTAGACTAGATGTTGTCTACGGTGTTTTCATTTGATTTCTATGCCAGTAAACCACATTTCTATGTTTCAAATGAATAGGTGTGTACATGACTATAATGCATCGTTGTGTGAATAGCCTCTGTAACATTCGAATCGTCAGAGGGGAATTTTCCAGCTTCCGTTGTCTCACATTGCTAGTGGTTGGGCTGGGCTTTCCGCCCTTTCTTGTTCTTCAAAATTGTTGTCTGTTGTTTAATTTTCAGGTTATAGTGTGTTGTTCCCGAAGTTGTGTATTTTAATAGGATTACAAGTGCACAGTCGAGTAGCATGTGTCGCATTTCTTGGTTCATAAAGGCAGGGAAGAGTAGGGCGGAAGCGGCTACCATGCTCATTGTTGTGTAATTTTACTTGTCTCAAAAAATTATAGAAGACAATGAGGAATAACTATGATATCAGATCATGAGTAAAGTTCATAGATAGCTCCCAATATTAGCTTAATACCAAAGCAAATTGGTCCTCTAGTAAATCTCTTGCATGTGGATTTACTACTTTGATAAACAAAGTTAGTGAGCACCAAGGTCCAAAACCATACATATTTATTCTTCATCTTTATTCAATCTTAAGCCCACCTCTAATCCTTCTTGGACGAACCATTCTTGGACGAACTAACATCCACCTCAATACCGCAATCTTCTGATAGGATACGTTTGTAAAGCCTAAACTCCCAATCAGGCTCGCAAAATAGGCTCAGCTGCCATTGAAAAGAGAGAGAGGTATTTTCATTCACAACACAATCCACACTTCATTATGTCAGGCCACGTTAACCATTCATACTATGCTACTATTATATATTCAACACTTGTCAAAATTTATGTAGAGCTAGATGATCTAGCATTTGTTTTTCCATTCCAAGGATTGACAAGACCAACACAAGAAGCATAACAAGATAGCACATAGAGGTTTTTTTTTTTTTTTAATCGAGCAACTAAAAGTACCTCAACAGCCGCCCAAAGTGTCTTCTTGCTTAAGTCATCAGCTTTGTTACGAGCAATTGAACTTGCTCAAAAAATTGAATGATGAATAATCGTAGAAACTCTGTTTGGATATCTCACTGCAACCTCGTCATAGGCACTAGGACCTAACTCATAGATATAATATAGATGTTATTGCTATTTACAATAATTACTATTAGATAACGAGAAGAATAATGGTATAATTATTCTAGGCGTTGAAGCAGCACAAGCAGCGTACAAAACTAAATTACGAGGGGCGCTATTTATACTTACTCCTTTTGCCAGATGAAGCGCTATACGTGGACCTGGCTCCTGCAAATTAAAAAGCATAAATGATATAAAAAAAAAAGACAGAAAGATTGTTTCATATTAGATTAAAGAAATCATCTCAACAGATTGACATATTATTTAAACAATCGAATTCCCAGCATAATTACTCACCACTGTAATGTGAACTCGACCTCGAATTAGAAGAACTAAAACGAGCCATAATTCTGGTTCAAGAAGTCCGCAAGCCGTCTCAACTAAAAGTTTACAAATTAAAGTTTAGTTCCTACGAGATCATAAGACAAAGGATTACATACTGAAACAAAACGAGAAACTAAATGGAAACAGAAATCTGTTCCAAACGATTCAATCCCAAGATGTGGCAGAATTAGATGGTAACCCTTAAATCTCAAAATCGATGGCAAGGGCCGACAATGCACAATTTTAGTTAGTTTAAAACAATTTACTCATCAAATGAAAACTGCTGGTGTAGGATTCCAGATATATCCCAATACGTGCATGACAAGAAAATCATAGGCCGCGATTCAATGGAATAATCCTGTTTGCACTCAAAATATACCCATTTTTACTTATTTGGGCAATTTGGGTAAAATATGATATTTGGAGGATTAATATGCAAGAAAGCTAACTTGGAAAGATATTTAGATGCAAGTGAAGGGGTTGGACACTATAATATTGTTCTTCCAATTTGTTTGTGGTGGAGGTTTGTCTAGCCTTTGTTTAATCAAGATACATGCATGTATTGCAAATAGATGGAAAGGCATCAGCAAGCTTTCGGGCAAGGAACATGTGAAAGAAGCCAACTTGCTTCTTTTAAATGTTAGTTTATTACAAGTGGGAAAACATGTGCTAAAAACATGTGGTGGAGATGCAAATTCCCCTTTTAATATTGTTTCTACATGCAAGTTGGCAAAAGCAATACAAGCTACCCAAGTAAACAAATGCAAGCTGCCCAAGCTTCTTTCGGGCAAGTACAAAACCTCAGCAGGAGGGTTTCCTCCAAACCTCTATAAAAGGGAGCAGATGCACAAGGATTATGGACACTCAAACAAACAAACAAAAGCACAAACTCTGCTCAAACCAGATTTGCCAAAAAGCCTTCTTTTATCTAAGTTTATTAGCTCTGCTGCTCACTTGCGGTATCGATCTCATTTATAGTTTTTATGTACTCATTTCCAGCCATATAAATTACAAGCAATCTGCAATTTTAGTCATTGTCCTCTGTCATTTATATTTCCAAGCAACCTTATCATTTACATATTGTTCTATCTCTCCATATAAGTAAAGTCCTTATTTTTAAGGCAAACAAAGAACCTTAATTTGAGCAACTCCCACTCAAATGGCACAATCTCTTGATTTGAAGTCAAAAGGCGCAACCTCAATCATTCAAATCCCGTCTACTAGCGGCATCTAGTAGTGGCACGCCCGCACCCACCAATCTCGTATGTGAGTAAATCCCCTGCTTGCCCACAAGGCACCATGGCGGATTTAGGGAGCGAACAAATCCAACAAAGGAGCCCAAACTGATCAACGAAAGCTAACTTTAAGCGAGCAATAAGACACAACAAACTGCATAATTAAGGTATAATACATGATTAAGCATAAACACGAACCGTAATAAAAAGAAAACCCAAAATTAGGGTCATGGGAATGTGTACGTAACCTAGCTACAAGCCTACTACTCTATTCGAGCACACAAACACATACAAAAATACTGCTGTAATTTAATAGGAGAGTATGTATGACAAAACACAAGGGGTTGAATTTTGAACGTTGAATTTTCATACACGCAGAGAGAGAAAGAGATTAAGGGAGGCGTCCGCTTTGGAGTTTTGCCCGGCTTTTGAACACAAACCCTAATTATAAAAGGCGCGGGGCCGGGCCGGGATGGGTATCCTGAGGTATAAAATATCGATGATATCAGAAATATCGGTAGTTCAAAAACACGGAAATTTCGATGGAAATATCGGGATATTATTGATATCGATAAAAATTGAATAAAAACCACGGAAATTGTAAGAAAAACTTGGAAATTTTTATTGAAACTTTGCAGGATGTTTATTTAGTCAATTATCTATTAGTTTATCACAAAAAATTGGAAGGAAATGCATTGCATGATAGATATAACTGATTTAAGTTGATTATATAGCGAACTGTCAAACATTGTGAGTGTAGAAAATATGTAGTAATTAATGAAATAAGTTTAAACACACCATAATCATTTATATATATGAATTAGTACAATATTTTACACTTCATACATTGCATGGTAAGATACATGAGTGACTTAGCAAGGTCTAAAATATCGATGATATCGGAAATATCGGTAGTCCAAAAACACGGAAATTTCGATAGAAATATTGGGATATTATGGATATTTTAGACCACCTGAAAATATTAAATTACCCGAATTTTATTATCGCTAATTTCGTGTTTTTTTCTGTTTAATTTCTTAACAATTATGTATTTAGTAATTAGTTCATATCGTATATCACAGATAGATGGCTATTAATTTAATTTAAAAGCCTAAGTTGTTTTATATGATTGATTCCTATGATCTGGTAAAAAAATTCCGTGGTGATCAAATTAATTAGATTAATCACTTGTATATTTGTTCCACATCATTTAAAAGCCTAGCTAGCTACTATCAAGTATCAACGATGTATTATTCTTTAAAACTTGCGTTTGGTTTCTTATTTGATTCTTCAATTTTAAGTGAGATGATTTGGAAATGCTTCAAGGCTGCATGCAGTTGGAAAATGCTACGTTGAGTGAAAACAACATTATTTACGTACGTATTTGTATTTCATTAAGTTTCTGAAGTAGCTGTTCAATTTGTCACAAGATTATAAGTGTACAGTCGAATTTCATACGTCTCTCCTTTCTTGGTTGACAAAGGCATGGCAAGAGTAGGACATTGGTGGAACGATCACAAGACTAATGCCGGGTCAGTCTGGTCTGTGTGCAAGTGATACATGCAATAGTTAAATGACTTTTATCACCGACACATTTCAGTTTAACTTGCATTGCCTCCTCCTGTCCACGATTATAATGCCTGCATATATAAATTTCATATAACTAGTTGCTTTGCAGAGTGTTTAATATGTAATTCTTCATTGACCATAGAAGGTCATACAGGCGGGAGCTGTGCGGAAGCTACTGAACCCCTCCTTGCGGACGAGAGAAACAAAATTGCAGAGCAGGTCGTTAAGCAGATGAAGACTCGTGTCACTTTGTTGAACATAACATAGAACAGATGGTCATCCATCCGTATACGGAAATCATCACCCTTCGGGGGTTCAGGATTGCAGCCATTGGTGTCTTCCTGGCATTCCTGATGTGTGGAATGGATTGCCGTATCTTCATTTGCTGCAGTAACTCACACGGCAAACCGCCGTCTGTTTATCAAATTCTTTCAATAAGTTCAGAATCTTAGCAAAGATAGATAAATCAATGCAACCCCTTTTTCTTCTCGAGAAATGTTTACAGAGAATTACCAATTATTCCCATCACAACATGCCTCTCTGCGTTAGCATGGTCGGACACAAACTATAGTACCAAACTGGTAGAAGAATTTCTGACTTATTGTCTATAAATCCATGAAAATAACGTTATTTCCAATACAGCCTTATTGACCTAGAAGGACAATTCTTGTCCCGGCTGTTGTCATGGATAAAAACCTCCAGAGTCGAGCTGTGCGCCATACTTGATACCTACGTACCTCTCCATCCATGCTAACTATCCATTCAAAGAGGTTGGTGCTTTTTCGCTCTGCCCCTGGAAGCAGATGAATCGTCCCTCTTAGAACCCTCCGGTTTTTGAGCCCATACAGGTGCTGCCTCTGAAAGATAACAATAATCATAGAAGAGCTCCTCACCAGCATCAATATGCTCCTTGGCAAATATGCCAACTCGATGATCACCCGCGACCAGCATTACCTATACGCAAACATGTATTACACACACCATTATAACTAATCAAACAAGAGAATTACAGAAACTTAATTACCTTTGCATGGCAGTTAGGATTCGACGAGTGGTTTGCAAATTTAAGCTTGTCTCCCTTTCGGTAAGCATCTAGGACGTACTGCAGTAAACAGGTGTCATGCCAGAGTAAAGCTATAGCCTACAGGTATCACGTATTTGCAAAGAAAATTAAAATGCAAATATAAAAGCGGTCAATCATTATTTTTCCCTTGCCTGTTCATTCAAGTCGAAAAGGAATGACGAGTTTACACGATCATAAATCTTCCCCCGCTTGTCTGCTTCCTGATGGGAGATGATTTCACCAGTGTATTCTCCAAGATAATCATTCTTGTTTACGGGGTTCTGAAATCACATGATTTAATATGGTGAGAAAAGAAAAATCAGCTTATAAGTTTTAGGAAGCCACATGCAAAAACATCGAAATCTTCCAACCTTTAAGAAGGCTCCCCAGCCAGCAACATCAGACTTGCCCAGGAGAATCTGAAGAAAAAGAAAGTGTATGTAATCATAAATCATAAAGTAAATTATGCAGACTACAGAAGTGATTTATTAACTAAATACTAGGAATTGCTCACCCTCTGTTGCTGTCGAAGAAGAAGCCTCATGTTTCCACATTGACTATCTCCCTGTCTCGGTGGCTCACCTAGCGAACCATCCCCACAACTACAAAAAGTTTTTATATTTAAATTCAAAATCACCACCAAGGAAATAACAAGCTCTCTACAATGAACACACTGCATGATTCCGAAAAAAAAAAAAAAAAAAAAAAAAAAAAAAAAGCTTGATCAGCTGGTCCATCATGGAGCTCAATACCTAACCCAACAATGACGACAGACATCTGGGTCACATTCACGGCCAGCAGCAAAGCATGGGCACTGCCGACTTCTACATTGACTCTTTGCACAGTGACATCCCCTGAACCTATTTTTGCAGCTCTTTGAACACCTGAAAATGGAAAAGTTAATTGGTCATCACTGGTTCTGTGCATTTCATTCAGTTGACTGCTTTCAGGATAAGTCCGACATACCCACAGTATTTTTCACAGCAGGTTCCATTACTCATACAAGAACATTCCTTTCCACACATAGACTGGCATCCACATGGCGTATATAGTTTACGTGAATCGTTTTTTCCATCAGCAATTCTTTTCCACATTGTTGGGTGCCCAGCAGACTTCCAAGAATACTTAAGCCTCCGTGCTTTGCCCCTTCTACGAAGTAACCGTGGCTTTGATGACATCTCTTGTTCCTAGCATGTGTACAATAAAGGTAACCTTTTTTAATCACAGAGAGAGAGAGAGAGAGAGAGAGAGAGAGAGAGAGAGATAAGTAAGAAAAGAAATAGGGAGGATAAGTCTATGATGCTTACTGTCTGATCCATATCAGATTTCACATTGTCTTCCATAAATGAAGATGGTCCAACCACAGATCTGTTAGGCATTGAAGCTCCAGAATTATGCATGTAACTAGACACCTCCATGCAAGTCCTCAAGCCAGAGAGTAAGTTCCTAGCTATGAGGCAACTGCAGAACACAAATTACCAATTAAGTACAAACATACGGAATGGTGTAATGAAGATCCGTACAAGGCATTTTGAATTCAAAAATGGCTACCTGTTTCTCCCAAATATCTGTAGTCCCTTCATGTATAAATCTTTCTCCACTGGTTTCCACTCAGAGTTGCTACAGATCCCCTCAACTTGTTCACATGTAGAATTGGATGTTTGCCTCAGTTCAGGCACTTCGGTTACATCTCGTGGCTCATCTCTGGGAATGTGAACCTGAAGCGGGATAGGTTCACTAGTAGCAGTTACCAAATCCAAAGCATCTAATCTCTTTTGTTTCTTAGAAGAACCCCGGAAAGCATCAGGTACTATAGTTAGGTCATTTGCCACTTTATCTGTATGCTTCACAACCTTGCGCTTCCCTGTGTTTTCATTGTGCATCTTCAAGATATGAGAACTATGAATGGCTTCTGAAGTTGCAGGCACAGCTTCACCAGGAATACTTCTTTCATTGTGTAAGAGGTCAGTACCACCATGGGAACTTGGTCGCTCGGCATTAATGGATGATCCTGGAGCACTTTCTCTCTCTGATGGTACTATACTCCACTGCAAGAAGAACCCGGAAGTCATAATTCAAAATCCAATGACCGGTGGCAAAAGCCAAAGAAAATATGGAGTGTATAAATCATATTTGTCATGATAAATGTGCCCTATAGTTCATCAGGTGAAAAGAAAAAAGAAATGTTCAGCAAGCATCAGATTAGACCAAAAGAATAAAAATGTACTTTGACTAATTCACCAGCAAATAACTAGAGGGTGAAAGAGTTTAACTTGTACAAGTTCATGATATGAAAACTGATCAGATTAACAGTGTCCTACTACTGAATTCAAGGAGAACGAAAGAAACTAATTCAACTAAACAGAACTTAAGTGGTAACAGAACCCTAATAAAGAAAGGAAATTCCATACCCTGAGGTAACATTGATCACTGCACGGTTCCCGGTTCTCGTCATGACCGGACCAATGTGACTTTTCACTCTGAAAAGAAAGAACACCACAATAAACATAAATTTATGGAATTCAAACAAGCTGGCACATATAAGCAACACTGCTGCTTACAGGATAGATTAAAGGTTGAGAACATCCATGCAAACGACAATCAAATACCTGTTGGATAGAATCAGTCGAGAGTTATCAGAAAAAAAAGAAAAAAAGAAAAACCAGTAATTTCATTTAACAATTCAAGTAAGATGACACCCGCATACCAAGCAACGGCGACAGAAAAGGTTATCGAAAGAATCTAAGGCAGCATTAAGACTCTTATCAAGAGAAATGCACCCATCATGTTCGCACTTCTCGGGGTTCCTTTCCTTGATTGTGTTATAACGGGCCTGCAAGTGTAGAATTCCACAAAATTTAGGCATCAAAATCCTCCCAAAAACACAATTGTGAACATCTGTTAATTCAAGCTACCAGGATATCTGAAATGGGAGCTCCAATAAACTCCTTCACAAGTTCCACTACTTCCTCGCCTAGGCCATGTTCCTGAAAGGCCATCCTACGAAATTCAACACAAAAAATTAAAAACCTTCATTTATTCCTACAACAAAATTTGGAATACACAAGTTCATAAGCAGCCATAGTCAATGTGATTCTCTAAAAATCTAACATCTCATTTGAACTTACAACAGAATTCGATCTTCGCCCGCAGAAAATTCATGCTTTACTTCTTCGGGTTGCCAAAAACGAGGTTGCTACGATGACCACTTTCCCCTTCGAGGGGCGTCAGGGCTTGATCTTGAATTGGTGGAAGGTCTTCAAGGAGCATTGGGGCTTGATCTTGAAGGAGGATTTGATGAAGAACGAAGAGAGCTTTCTTGATCCTTCGGTATTCGATTGGGAGCTTTAGTGTTTCAAAGCTTCAAGGTTTTGGAGTAAAGTGAATTGGTTATGAATTGGTCTTCCCAAAATGAATGAAATGACCTTGTATTTATATAATTTTTCACGGCCTAATTTTGAATAAAATATTCAAATGAAATAAATCATTTCTGCCAGGTGTTGACACGTGTCCTTATTTGATGACTTTTCTGATTTATTTTGATTTTTTCGTTTAGTCACACACTACGTGTAAAATTTATGTGACATGTGAGCGTTGAAATTATAATTATTGGTCAACATTTATTTCACCAAAATTTCGATGTCTACAAGTGCCCCCACTTCAAGGCGAGTCGTATACATGTGCTTGTCACGTGTAGGAGATGCGTTTTGAAGTCCCTTAATGTAGATGTCGATCCAAGGGCCATTGATGCTTGATCTTGAATTAGGCTGGAGATTTCTTCAAGGGCCATTAAGGCTTGATCTTGAATTGGGCTGGAAGTTTCTTCAAGGGCTGTTGAGGCTTGTTCTTGAACTTTGTTTGAAATTTCTTCAAGGGCTGTCGAGGCTTGATCTTGAATTAAATTGGACCACAAAGAGCTTCACATGGTAGATGATCTTTGGCTTTGGTAGTGGATGAATCAGCACATATTTTGTTGCGCTTGTTGACTTTCCACAGCTTTGATCTTGAACTGGGTTAGAGGATTTTCTGGTTTCCTTCAATTGTTGACTTTCCACAGGCTTATTCTTGAACTGGGCTGAGAGGTTTCTTCTGCTAGACTTACCCCAAAATGTCTGGATTTACTTCTTTTATCTGGTGCTGAATTTGGTTCAAGGATGGTGAACACTTGATCTTGAATCAGACATGATTTCTTCAAGTTGGTGACTTGATCTTTAAGGATTTGATTCGAGGGTGGTGAATTGGTACGTGCAGCTCACAACGCCTAGCGAGTCGACTCAAGAATTTGAGGGTCAAAACAAGTCCGCCAAATCTAGAGTACTTGCAACCCTGACGATATGAGATATTTTTGCTTTTGAAGAAGTAGCAGATGAATCGGCACGTGTTTTGCTGTGCTTGTCTCCACATGCTTCAATGTATCATTTTCACTTGCCTTATCTGTTCTTCAGGCAGATGTGGTATCTTCTGCTAGACTTGTCTATTTCCTTGGCAGAGCAATGCTAGGTAAGCAATCAAGGAAGGGTTCCAGGCAGTCAGTTCCTGACTGGGAGTTTGACTTCAAGTTCCGACTGATTGCTCTCTTTCTTCTTGTCTTGCAGGTAAGAACAAGGACAAGGAAAATGATAGGGAGAAAGCATGATATGAGATACTTTTGATTTTGAAGAAGTGGTAGTG